ATTATCATAACAAATTGAACGATATCAGATTTGGAAGGGTTATTTCGGATGATTACGAAGATATTTGCATCCAAAGTTTCCCTATAAGCTCACCCTGCAAACATTGAACTGCCGGAAGAAGTCCGGCCTAATGGGGCAAGTCTGGGAAATTCACGATGATTTCCCTATACTAAGTAACCATCAGTTAGAAATACTATGATGACCTTGTGATGGTGAGATGTCTGGAACCAGGTGAACACTAACGAGTTTTGGCCCTCTGCCGGCCAATATCTTGTTCACTACTCGGATTTGGGATCATTATGATACTTGGATTTTGGATCATTATGATATGTGACTCTAGTGATAGCTTGGGAGGATCTCTTCTCAGCCACAACCTGTTCTGGACACATTTCGTCTTGCCACATTTCGTTTCAGCCACATCTCATCTCAGCCACATTCCGTCTGGCCCACAGAATTCGAACATACTCGAATGATGCACTGTTGCCACATACTATCCCAATTTTCAATATAACAGAATCGAATAAATTACGCATATTCCTCCCAGCCACATCTCGTATCAGCCACATTTCGTCTCAGCCACATTTCGTCTCAGCCACATTTCGTCTTGGCCACATTTCGTCTCAGCCACACAAGGGTAAAATTGCACTTATCATGCGATGGTTTTGTTTCGAAAATTTGTTTTGGTACTTCGTTTTTTCTTGTCTGAAAAACATGAACTTAATAATGAACATGTGAACAAACCACTAATTGTCGAGATATTTCAAGAAAAAGTTCGAAATTTCGCCATGTTCTCCTCTTGTCTTGAATGCATTCACAGGTACTTGCTCTTATTATTTTGTCATTGGAAACTCATGATGTACTTCAATGACATATTTTTATACAGAAAATTCAACACAATAGTTATTTTTGTATCTAGAGCGCGAAATGCTACTTTGGTGATCGAGATCTGATTTTTTTAACGAGGCGTAGCCGACTTAAAAAAATAGTCGAGATGACCAAAGTATTTCGCACTCGAGTTGCAAACAACATTTCTTCTACAAACGTCAAAAATATAGTTCTAAAGTGAAAATATGCTTAGCTTGATGTAATAAATAGTGTAGCACTGGTTTGAAAGGCCTCCCCCTATCCTCCCAAGGTAGGCACGATGTTCCACGAACATAATAGGCATTTTCTTTCGTGCGCTCCAAGAGATAAAACAAAGTTATTGTTGATTATTCAGGAATAAATGATTTCGTGGATGTTTGCTCGATTGAGGATCATGAAGTTGAAATATAAATATCTCATATATTTTACATAACAATGCGCGGAATAGGTACTTCGCGCATTGTTATGTGCAAGGCATCATGGTAACGTAGGAAACTGAAAAAAGTGTCAATTCGCAATTTCTTATCAATGCGCGAACCTTGTCATTTTTTGACGTTTGTAGAAAAAATATGATTTTTATTGCGAGTTTTTCATATTTAGTGAACAATCATACCAGATGACCGCCATTTGATCAATAATCAATCCAAATTCGAGATGTCAAATGTCAACAGATTGCTTCTGAATGACGTTACACACGCCATTATTTCAAATAATATTCTTCCTTCTTCTCATGAAATATGGATAAATCGCAAGAAAATATGGCTAAGACGAAATGGACACAAAATCTGACTGAAACGAAATGTGGCTTAGATGAGATGTGGCGAAGACCGAATGTGGCTGAGGCAAAATGTGGCTGAAACGAAATGGATACGGAATGTGACTGAGACGAAATGTGGCTAAGACAAAATGTTGCTGGAACGTGATGAAGCTGCATTGTGTATTTCTGCTGAATTGGGAGAGTCAGTTTGTATCTGGCAACAGCGCATCGTTCGGGTATATTCGGATACTGTGGCTGAGACGAAATGTGACTGACACGATATCTGGCTAAGAAGAGATGTGGCTGAAACGATGTGGCTGAAACGATGTGGCTGAAACGATTCGCACCCGATAGCTCATGGTTCGTTCTCCTCTGGTTTGTTGTCGATTTATTGTGCGCCCCACACTCCCTGATCGTTATTCATGATGGCAGGAGTATTCTCAATTGATAATATAAAAGACGGATTCTTCAATTATGATAATATTGAGTGAGCATCAATCTACCTATCTAGTGTTTCGAATTTCATTGTGTGACTCTACTTCTCCAGAAACACACTATCATGTTCAACTCGTTCGTTGCTATCAACAGTTATCTTTATGTAAACCTTTCTCTATTATAGAAGTAAATAACAATAAGGTCCCAACTACAGAAATGCATGTGCCAAAAAATAGTGGGAATTGAAAAGTTCTATATACAGGGTGATTCAAAAGTAAGCGGCATCCTTTCAGAGGCGTATTCCTTGCATGAAAATAAGGCAAAAAGTTCCTATTGATAAGGATCCGAAAATGCTTCCTAAGGGAGCTACGGCCCTTTGAATAGGACACCTCAAAGACGGTTTTTTCTCTATAACTTTAAAATCCTTCACAACAAATTTTTAAAAATTGGTGTACGGCATAAACATTCGATGGTAAATAGGACTCCGTATTCGAAATAATTTCCAAACGAAATCACAGTAACCTGAATATCCGGAGAAGAAGGGATATTTTTACACTTACCCTCTCCCGCATGTGACGCCCCTGAATGAAATTCTGAAATTTCGAATACGGAGTCCTATTTACCATCGAATGTTTATGCCGTACACCAATTTTTAAAAATTTGTTGTGAAGGATTTTAAAGTTATAGAGAAAAAACCGTCTTTGAGGTGTCCTATTCAAAGGGCCGTAGCTCCCTTAGGAAGCATTTTCGGATCCTTATCAATAGGAACTTTTTGCCTTATTTTCAAGCAAGGAATACGCCTCTGAAAGGATGCCGCTTACTTTTGAATCACCCTGTATGTTATCACGTTATCAGACTATATTGATCAAGTTATGAACTGATGCAACGGTATTTCGTTTATCATACTCCTATATGGAGGAAGAATTCTGATATCAAGAAAGACTACTGATAACTGATGAAGAATTTTATATTTCAGGAGTACCCACCTCGCAATGAAGAATCCATTTTAAACAAATGCTACCCAAATAAGATGTAGATGTAAAAACTAGCCGATAAGCAGTCACTCTGAGAAGTTTCATCATGGAATTAAAGAGAGGTTGAGAAGATATCATTGTGTCATCCATAAATTGTTTCCTTGAAATCTGGTATGTGTCTGTTTGACATAATATGATCAGAGGATTACATTGAAGAATATAGAGTTACTAGAACTTTCAGATCCATCGGACCCCTAAAACCCCTACATTTCCCCCTACCTCGATAGTATGTAATCAATCTCTATAATTGGCCATTACAGCCCCATCATTTATGTATGTGCTGGGGTTGCTATGGAAAATCCATGTGTCGATTATGTTGTACTGGCCTTTTGCCGGGGAACTAAATATGATTGCTGGGTACCCAGCACTGGTACCAGCTGCCGGCCGAAGTGTACTGATATACAGAGTCCCGCATATGGTAGCATTTCCATTTCTTGGTCAAACCGGAAGTACGGTAAAGCGTGTGGATATGTCAAATAATGTCAAATGAACTATCATTCACAATTCCCAAATTTCGTGTCCCTACCTTCAATATCAAAAAAGTTATAGGGATGAGCCAACTTAGAAAATCACCCAGTAACATTTATACAAATTATGTCTTTCATTATTTCAAAGAATCCAAATGATAGATAAAACTGTTCGAAGTTTCAAAAAACTTAGCAATTGACCACTGTGAGGCTGCGATCTTGAATTCAGTCGTCTACAGGGTGAGTCAAAACTAACCAGTCATGTTATAGGATGAAGATCAGAGAAAATTGGAGTGAGTTGATATAAATGTTGGAATTTAATATTTTCAACATGTTATAGTTGTTGCAGGATATTTTCCCAGTTCTTTCAAAGTTTTGTGAATATCGTATTTTCAATATTTATTCGAAAAATGTACAAAGCTCTGAGGAGGAAACGGTTTGCGACAGTAAATAGTTTGGGTCAGTACTTCAATACAATGAAATGGAATTTTTCATAGACATCAACCAGATTGGCGAGAAAATATCACAAAAATCTGAATGATTTTTTTTTTCGATTCAATTTACCAAACCGGTTGAAGTATGCAAGTGTACTAATTGAATAGAAATACCTACTAGTAGATAGCGTTTTTGTGGATTTTCTGGATCCGATGAAAGTTTCTGTATGATATCCTTCCTCTAGAAGGTGAGAAATTTGACATATGCAATGAATTGATCAAGATAATATAGTTACTCTAATTAATGGCTAGCTAGTCATGACTCACCCTGTATAAGGATTTTTCGGGCTCACTGATTCTTCTATACTTCAAAGAATTCCAAATAAGTAATCATTCAACACTTCAGAAGCATCATAGACACTGTATACAAGAAAGTGACCATGAAACATGATTCGTTCTTTGTTACATCCACTCCATAATGAACTTATCAGATTCCAATATAGAATAATACCTCAAAACCTCGAAGTGTCAATAGGGTTTGTCAATTGATAAATAAGGATTCCATTCTAAAATTAACCATGACCCTCAATTACTTTTGATTCACAGTGATAAAAATTTTGAGAAAAAACAGGTTGAAGATCAGGTATGGTGTCATTTGAATTTCCAAAATAGGGGTGGCTGGGGTCAAAAAACATAGTGGTATCGAAGTACCCCTCGCTTTATTTCCTTCAAAAAATATTGTGATTAGAGCAGATTAGAAGGTGATACTTTCGAAAGAAATGTCGACACGGGTTGGTACATAAATTGACCGTACTTTCATCACCATTTATTTCCAATCGGATTCCCAATTTTGAACGGCCAGAATATATACCTCTCAGATCACTCATCTGATATCTAACAACATATCATTTCTTCCTTCCATTTAAAAAATCTGAGATATAAAATAATTCGAAAGAAGAATGCATTATATATGTATATAAAGAATCTGGAGTTGAAATTATTGAATGGTCACTTACTTTTTTATGGATATTTATCCATCCCTTGCCAACAATAATAATTATACATTCTCACCATCATACAAAAATCAATCAAATCACTGCTGACTAACTACTATATGAACCAATAGCTCACTGGCACAGAGAAATCATCAGATTTACATGTCTTTTCAATTAATATACACGTCTTAAAATATCAAAAGAAGGTAGGTCATAATAAAATAATGGAGATTTTACTACACAAAATCGATGTTGTTTCAGTCGTATGCATTATTATAAATCACGCACTAGAATATTTCCACGCTTCAATATTTTCTCTCCACGCACAACTGTGGAATAACTAGTGTAGGCCTAGTAGATGAAACCTTCTTCTGATTAAATTAAGCTGGAGATTCTTTCTCAAAAAGTCCTCGACACTTGCTAAAAAATCAAGCACTGTAATGTCCCCAGGCTTCATTATTACCTCCCTCTACTGCAGCAAAGTTTCCTACAGTAGAAGATGCATTGAACACTGGCGGCCTCTGTGGCAAATACTGATAAGAAGGTGAATACTGATGACTACTACTCGAATAGTATGAAGAGGCACTAGGTGAGTAAGAATACACACCAGATGATGTCGGTTGCAAATATCTGTCTGGTCTGGACTGCATCTCGTGATACCTGCCGAGAGAAATGTTTTCTTCCAGTGATTCATTGCTAATTTTCTTATGCTTGTAGTTATTATTAGTTTCTTCCTCATCTTGGCCGCGCTTCAAATACATTTGCTGGTAGGTTTGGTACTGCACTTCCGAGGGGAAATACTGGTCTAAGTCGCTGCTATCCAAACATTCGTCCGGAAGGTAAGTATTGTCTATTTCTGGAATCCTGTGGTAGGAGTCCAGATCCAAGTTATGCTGGTCGCAAGGCCTCAATATCTGATGGGACGGGATTTGTGGGCTATTAGGTTGGGAGGAACAGGTAGATGGAGATGTGGAGCTGTGGCTTCTAGGACTGCAAGAAGGTTCTTCCTGTTTCATGGAACGAGAGAAAGTTACGTTTTGACCTTGAGGGAGTTGATGCTGATGATGTATGGAGTCTGAGCCTTTGTTCTGCTTTCTCCTTCTCGGTTGGTATTTGTAGTCTGGGTGTTCGCGTTTGTGGATAACGCGCAGACGTTCAGCTTCTTCGATGAATGGTTTCTTGTCATTATCACTGAGAACCCTAGAACGAAGAGAAAAGTGCAAAATTAGTGAAATATAGTACCTTCTATTTCATATATAGGTAATGTGAACCCTTTGATAACAACCTGTATAATTTTAACGATGTTAGTTTCCTACGATTCACAAGAATTCTTGAACACCCAGGTGCAAAATAAAAACGTTGGGAAATAATAAGATATACATAGTAAATAAAGGGTTTCAACATTATAATCACATCTTATCGATACATTTCATTGAAGGGGAGATAAAATCTTGTTCACAGTAACATAATATTTTTCATAGATTCAGGTGATGCAAATATAATATTATGAAATATTGTCAAGGAATAATCCAAGTTACATTAGTTCTGAATTTACTCGTCGTGGAAATTCGAATTTGCTTTCACCTACCTAGAATGAAATTAACAAATTTCGCCAAAACGCATCACGAAGAATCTGTTGTATGCATATTTGATTTCTCTTAATGAAATTATTTCAATATTTTTCAAGATAAAATTCATTTCTGATTTTGTCATATTGGACTATGAACCCTAAATAGCCTATAGTGGCACTGTAAATCCCTAGGGATTTGAAGTACCTATCACTTTCCTCCACGAACTCTGTATCATCATCGTTATTGAGGTCGTTGATATTGTAACAATCAGCCCCTTCAATAACGTTTCCGTTTGGTGGCATTTATCTTTCATTTTTATCGTTATTTTTAACGTTTTACCTATCCAAAAGTGCATGCACCTAAGGACTAAAGTGTTTTCAAACCTCTCGACGAATTATATATAAACTGTTTGTCTCGGGATTTGAATAACCACCTCAGTCCCTAGGTGTATAATGTATCTCTTTTATATTTAGAACATCCACTAAGAGGCTCCTACAGATGGTTTGCCATCTGGAACAATGGGCTTATATCACAAAAAAATTTTATTTCATAATTCGATAGAACTCGCCCAAACTACACCTTTTCCAGATGTATTTCAGAAAGCGTCAATTCAATTTCAGAAAGCATCAATTGTATTTCAGAATAGTCAATTGTATTTCAGAAAGCGTCAATTGTATTTCAGAATAGTCAATTTAATTTCAGAAAGCGTCAATTGTATTTCAGAATAGTCAATTCAATTTCAGAAAGCATCAATTGTATTTCAGAATAGTCAATTGTATTTCAGAAAGCGTCAATTGTATTTCAGAATAGTCAATTTAATTTCAGAAAGCGTCAATTGTATTTCAGAATAATCAATTCAATTTCAGAAAGCATCAATTGTATTTCAGAATAGTCAATTTAATTTCAGAAAAGGTCAATTGTATTTCAGAATAGTCACTTGTATTTCAGAAAGCGTCAATTGTATTTCAGAATAGTCAATTGAATTTCAGAAAGCGTCATTTGAATTTCAGAAAGCGTCAATTGAATTTCAGAATGCATCAAGATCGATTAGTTAGTAGGAAGTGCACTCCATGTAAGAATGCATAGGATGTTCTGTGCTTCCTGTAGTGATGTTTTCAATTTATTCACCCCAAATTTTTTTTATGTGCCTATATACTATTTGATGAACAGAACACAGAATTTCAGGTTTAGAGGGAGAGGGGACAATCAGAGATAAACTTCTTTCCATTGCTATAAAAAAGTTCGGATTTTTACTTGTTTGTCCAATCGGAAGTGACTGGCTGTTTGAATGATACTGTAGAATAGGCTCCTTAATAACATTTACAAAATCAAGCTCATGTTGCTATGACGTAAATGTCATAATATTTTCACGACTTATGAAGTTGCCTGGCAGGAGAACACCCCGTGGAAAGTGTCTGGCAATTGTATATTCTCTATCATGATAGGATCCGATTGAACATAAAAAGATCAGCTTTTGTTGAAATGATGTTTTTGCCAGTTTTTTTTTCGTACTTCCAACACCCGGTATCTCTTGAAAGCCCATCCAGTACTGAAGATTTTCAACCCCCAAAACGATTCCACCAAATAAGATATAACACAGATAGAAAATATCAATCTTGTCGAAATGACGTCTGGTGGTCCCTGGCTTTCAGTCTATAGAGAACGATTTCTGAAATTCAATTGCCTATTCTGAAATACAATTGATGCTTTCTGAAATTCAAATGATACTTTCTGAAATACAATTGACACTTCATGAAATTCAATTGACGATTCTGAAATACAATTGATGCTTTCTGAAATTGAATTGATTATTCTGAAAGAAAATTGACGCTTTCTGAAATTGAATTGACTATTCTGAAATACAATTGATGGTTTCTGAAATACAAGTGACTATTCTGAAATACATTTGACGCTTTCTGAAATTGAATTGACTATTCTGAAATACAATTGACGCTTTCTGAAATACAAGTGACTATTCTGAAATTGAATTGACGCTTTCTGATATACATCTGGAAAAGGTGTAGCTCACCACCGCGAACCGTTTCTTGCTGTGAGCTCCCTACGTTTTATAAAAAATTATTGAAATCTCCGATTTTTCGGACCTCTGAAAACGAGGCGATGATGTGACGTTAGAACCCTAATACTGAAACAAGACTATTCCAGACAGAGATGAATGATACATGATTTCTGACAGAGTGAATTAGCGCGAGATCACAGTTGAAATAATTAATATATCAGTTACCTCAGTCTCCGTCGGGCGTTTGGTATTTTCTTTTAACTATGGCGAGATGAGGTTTCTACGTCATAAGAGGGTCCGTTTTCAGATGGTACTATTATTTATGTCCAAAAATAAAACATACCAGTTGATTTTTCGATCGAATTATGTCGTCAATCATTATTTATGTATAAAAGGATCATAATAAACATGGTTTTAGTTAAAAGTTCTACCAAGGTGTACACGCCCATTGTAATGGTATCCGGCGTATGAAAAAGTATGAAAAATGCTACTTTTAGTACGGGATGTACAATCAGTTGAAGTTGAAGAGTTGAAAACGAAAACAGCAGATGGACTCTGGCTTGAATCTATTACTCAATAGGCTCATCTACAATACCTCTAGGACAATGCCTGAATACCATAATATTATACAATTTGACCTAGGTTGGAGTAAGTTTATTTAGATTCATGATTTCAAGTTCATTCTCCTCGGACCCCTTGAATATGGGTTCTCCATGCCTAGAATACTAGTTAAACGGGAATAACATGTCACAATAACAAAAACGTTTCACAAATAGTTGAAGGTGTTACGTATATGGAATGCAAAAACGTTACAGCCTTAAGGCAGGACTCGCAGCCTATCTGCCTGGCAAAGTAAAAATGGTTTGGTTTCCTGAGATTGCTATATGATATTCCTACCCAACAATGTGCCTGCTTAAACCATTATGAGGTGTCCCAGACCATGTGGGAATCTTCAGGATTCAGAAAGACTAGATAAGATGACATAACAAGTTCCTATAATTTTTTTTCTACGATCCCTCCTGTTTTAATATACAGGGTGTTTTTAAATAACACCGAGAAAATGCAAAGGGTGATTATGTGATAAAAATGAAGGTGAGTATGTGGTATAGAATTTCTTGATAATCGTTTTCCCGGAAAAGTTACACATCTCCAGAGATACAAAAAGGTTTCTCATTTTCATTTTTTCTGTATATTGAGCTAAAGACAAGAAACTTGGTGAATATCATTTGTAAGTAGAACCCCGTATGCTTAGAAGAATTGAAATATTCAACCCCTCAGATATGACTGGAAAGCCCAATTCATTCACTAACTTTTCCTTTCCTGAAAGGAAAACTTAAGCGTTGCCATGTTTTTTTTCAAGAAACAGCTCCATCCTGAAAAACAAACAGGAATAATTCATGTTTATCGCTCTGCCATCGAAATAGTAAAGTCGCACGTTTCACACAACCTGGCGAAAATAAGGCATGTTGTGGCTGAAAACGAAAAATCACTGCATTGACGACAGATTTCTTCAGGTTGAACTCTACAGAATCGTTACTCAACATCAGTGCAATCAAGAAATCTACTCCAGTAGGTTCGAGGTACAAAAGTGTGTGAACAGTTCACCAAAGATTGAAAGACTGCAACAGGACCAAAATTGCTTCCGCATCACCTCGTAGCTAGACTTCAATTCGACACTGAGTATTCAATCTGGAACTTAGAACAATTGAATGATGTTCATGATACTGACAAATCCAGATTCCGCTTACATTTCCCAAATGGACAAAAAAGTGTTTGGAGGAGGATCGGACGGAGAAAGAATTTCAGAGTGCACGTACAGTCCTCGTCTGACCTATGGAGGAGGTTCAGCAATGGTTTCGGTAGGAATGATCCAAGAGGCCTGCACTGGGTTACACATGTGAGAAGTGTGAGTAGGGTAATGACCCTATCAGAAAGGTCCATTGTAGCTCATCCCTATAGGTTACAGTTCCCTGTACAATCCACTTTCAAAATTAGTGTGACCGAATATGTTGAATCATAAAGTCTCTCTATCCAGAAGCATGAACATAAAATTTGTGTTCAGCCGTTTCCTGCTCCACAACCTAAAAACAACAGTCTGTTTTTTGGTTCTGACCAATACTCCCTAGCCTAGGTGGTATCTTAGACGACAGTGTTCCTCAAGCAGTCCTGTCGGAATTGGCAGGTTATTCCTGCTCTCCTCTAGGATGTGCCTGGTTATATTTTTCGATGGTTGAGGCAGGAACGCCTTCAAATAAGTCGATCCTTGTGATTCACACAAGTTCGTCCTCCTATCGACAGTAAGTATACGCTCTTGATAGATAAATAACTATCTTCCATGCAAAACAGAGGAAGAACAAATGAAGTCGGCGCAAGAGCTTTCGTCTCAAGAATCCGAAAATATTGCGATATACAAAGTGTTCCATTGAAAAATGCAAAACCGGTGCTTTATCCGGTGAAACCAGAAGTGGCCGGAAAGTGAAAAAGATGCGAGAACCTACCTACCTGTAGGTACCAAATCTCATTTTATAATATTCTAGAAGTTATGATTTTTCTGATAGATTCGATACAGACTTAAAATGATATTTCTAGTACATGAGAGCGATTAACTATTA